TCCCCTGGAGCTGGCAACCCCGAATTTGGACTTGTAGCCTCCTAGTCTGTGAGAGAATAAACTTCTGTTTGTTAAAGCCATCTACTTGTGGGATTTCTGCTACAGCAGCACTAGATGACTAAGACAGTAGGGGTTGGGAACCCCTCACTGGGAAGATGAGCAAAAATCTGTAAGAGCTGAGAGAGTAGGCTGTGTGGTATGTGGAGGAAGAACATTCCAGGCTGACAGAACAGGAAGTACAGAAGCCATAAGATGGGAGCTGTTTGAGGAAAAGTTAGAAGGCTGGTGTGGCTGACGCCAAAAGACTCCAGGAGAGCAGCAGGAGATGAGACTTGGGTAATTGCAGGAAGGCAACGTGGGAATTTGGGTGTGTGGGGACAGATCACATAGGGCCTTATAAATAACCCATTGCCTTCAAGTCGATTCCGACTCATAGTGACCCTATAGGACAGAGTACAAATGTCCCACACATTTCCAAGGCTGTAATCTTTACGGAAGCAGACTGTCACATCTTTCTTCCGAGAAGCAGCTGGTGGGTTCAAATCACCAACCTTTCAGTTAGCAGCTTAGCACTTAACCACTGGGCCACCAGGGCTCCTTAGAACTAATATGCATCTTCATTAATGAGATGAATAAAATCCAAGGATGATACAATTAGCCGAATCAGAGTGAACAAAGTAAGACCGACATGTGTCTTCTACGTGCCATGTGTTAGGTCTGGGGTTATAAGAATGAACGAGGCTGCTCTGGGCCCTACCCTCCAGTCAGCTCCCACTCACAGCCAGCCCAGGCACAGCAGGATGAAATGGTGTCTGGTCCTGCGCCATCCCCATGATGGGCTGCAGATCGCTGACTGTCGTGATCAACAGGGCTTTCATTGACTGGTTTTTGGAAGTAGATCACCAGGTCGTTCTTCCTAGTCTGCCCTAGTCTGGAAGCTCTGCGGAAACCTGTTCAGCATCACAGCCACACGCAATCCACCGTGGACAGAAGGGTGGTGGCTGTGCGTGAGGTGCACTGGCCAGGAATCAAACCGGGTCTCCCGCGTGGGACATGAGAATTCTACCATTGAACCACCAGTGCCTCATTCCAGGAACTTAATTTTCATCTGGAGTCCCTGGATGGTGCAAACAGCTTATGTGTTTGCTAACAGAAAGGTTGGTGGTTTGAGTCCACCCAGAGACACCTAGAAAGTCCTGACCATCTCCTTAGGAAAAATATCAGCCATTGAAAATCCTATGAAGTTCTGCTTTGACACGCATAGAGTCACCATACGCTGGAATTGACTCGGTGGGGGCCTGGACCTGGAAATTCTCATCTGCAGTGATGACGATGAAGACTCACTCAGAAATGATTTCACCGTAGTACAGTCACGCAGGCTAAAACTTCATCTTGTCTTCTCTGGATGGGAATATCACCTCCTCGCAGATGAGTGAATTTAAATCCTACCTCCAGGCTAAGTGGAAACAGAGAGGTTAAGTAATTTGCTCAAGATCCCACCACTAATGCACGATGGAGCTGGCATTCGAATCCAGGTATCCTGAGAATAAAGTCTGTGCTCAAAATGACCTGCTGGATTTGTATTAAGGTTTACACCAGGATACATGTATTATGTATATTCTTTTATACAAATTAGAAAATACTTTCTGAGTCTTCATAATAAAATCCTAAAATAAATGTTGGAAGGTGTTATAGAAGAAACTCCATATATCCATGAACAGGGGTTCATTTACATGGAAGTCTGGGAATTAGCCTGAGTGAATGTCTGGACACCCACTGCTGTGGAGCAAATAAATGGATGAATGGAAACCATGTTATGTGCACATAAACAAGAATAAGATGCCAATAAAATAAACGCCAGGGCCCCGGGCTGAGACAAAGCGGACTTCCTATTTTGTTTCTTTGTCCCCCAACGTCTCTGGACTATTCTTTGTTAACACCCATCTAGGCTGTGGTAGGCAGAAGTCTAAGATGACTCCTGAGTCCCACCCTCTGGTGTACACGCCCTGCATGATCCTCTCCCTTTGAGAGACGAGGGACTGGGAATACAATGGGACAGCTCTCCGTTGTTAGATGGTAAAGGTGACGGGACAGTCACCCCGATTGTTGCAGTATATGAGATCCACCTTAGCAAACCTAAGGGATACTCTCCCCGTGGCCTTGAAGGAGTGAGCTGCCGTGCTGTGAGAGGGCCACAACCTGAGGGCAGCCTCTACTAGCTGAGAGGGACCGAGCGAGAAAAAGGGGACTTCAGTCCTGTAACAGAGGAGCACTGGTGGTGCGGTGGCTAAGCGCTCCGCTGCGAACTGAAAGGTCAGCCTGCGAGCGAATATGGTATCAAAAGAGAGACTTTTTTTTAAATGGGATATATGACCTCAGTAACCTAATGGTAATTTATACAGACACTATCTCATAGACTTAAAAGCTAGTTTATAGTTCTATTTTTAAGAACTGCTATTACCCAGGGGAGCCCTGGTGGCACAGTGGTAAAGCGCTCACATGCTAACAGAAGGGTCGGCAGTTCAAACCCACCAGCCGCTCCACGGGAGAAAGAGGTGGTAGTCTGCTTCCATAAAGATTACAGCCTTGGAAACCCTAGGGGGCAGTTCTACTCTTCTATAGGGCCGCTGTGAGTGGAATTGACTCGATGACAATGGGTTGGGTTTTTTTCTTAGTCCTATAACCACAGGAACTGAATTTTAACCTGGATGAGGGTGGACGAGGACCCGGAGCACAGCGGAGACTGCAGTCCCTCCAACACCTTGACTTCAGCCTGGGGAGACTCTGAGCAGAGGACCAGCTAACCCGTGCCCAGGGGGCTCCTGTGCCACGGAAACTGAGATCATAAATGGGTGTTGCTCTACGGTACAAAGTACGTGGTGATTTGTTACACAGCAACAGAAAGCTGAAACATAAGCCAACATCCATTCCTTACAGAGATTGTTAGAGGGGACCCAGGATTGCTACGCCCTCACGTTACTCCACGGGTAACAATGGAATCACCATTTTTAATCCTGGGTTGTCCTAATCCAAGCTCCTTCATATCTCCATGCCTTTTCACTTGCTCTTCCCTCTGCCTGGAATGCCCGGCTGCCTCAGATGAATTCACTCAAACTTTAGAAGCCAGGCAAATGTTGCTTCTTCAAAGAACCATTCCCTTGAACCACTCCTACCCACCCGCAAGCAGAATAACTTACTCCTACTCCTTGCTTCCGTGGCAGCTGTATACATCTTCCCAAACACTTGCCATGATAGGATGCAGTAACTTTTTATACCCACCCTCCACCCCCACCCCTGCCACCCGGGAGTCTCTGGGTGCAAATGGAAAGGTTGGAACCCACCCACAGGCGCTTCCGAAGACAGGTCTGGAGATCTGCTTCTAAAAGATCACCGCCTTGAAAACACTATGCAACACAGTTGAGTTCTGTACATGTGGGCTCCCCATGAGTTGGAATCGACTTGACAGGTAACTAACAACAGCCCCCCGCAACACACACACACACCCAGGACGGTGAATGTTTCAGGGCAGAGCTGCCCAGACGTCTGCACAGTGACTGGCATATAAACCGTTGCTTTCGAGTTGGTTCTGACTCACAGACACGCCATATGTTGCAGAGTAGAACTGCCTTCCATAGGTTTTCGCAACCGTGACCTTTTGGAAGCAGCTAGCCAGGCCTTTCTTCCGAGATGCCTCTGGGTGGGTATAAACAGCCAAACGTTTGGTTAGTAGCCAAGCATGTGAACCGTTGGTGCCACCCAGGGGCTAAATAGTTGGATTCTAGTGAATGAAACGAGGCTGTGGATGAACACAGGCTTCTGAAGTTCTGATGAACACAGAGAGTTGCTGTTTCTTTTCCAGCAGAGACGATCAGGCCTCCAGGCACTAACACTGTGTTAAAAGGGCTGATATTTACTGTCTCAACACAGCTGCTCTGAAATGGATGGGTGCACCTTGAAGTGACAGTGGTAGGTGCCAGCAAGGATTCGGTCTCCCCAAAAGCGGTGCCGTGAAGCCTGCTGATTTTTTCTGATTCGAGCCCTACGCTAGGGTTGCATGCTTGCTGATTCAAACCGTGTTTTAACCCCTTCCTGAAATCAAATGTCAACTGAAATAGACAAGAACCCTACAGAGTTAGTTTTACTCCGCAGCTTAAACACCTAGGGTAGCAAGACAGAAACGTGAATCATGTGTCAAGACACTCATGGTGTTCACAGGACCCCAGGGCAGGTAGCATTTTCTGGAGATCACAGACTCAGGCAAAATTACGCATCATCAATCCCCACGGAATGTCATTTCGCTGGGTATGTGTTTTGAGAACATATTGAGAAAATGTTCATATCCCTAATATGCTGTCCTTAGGACCCACTCTGATGGGCCAATGATTGAACTGTAAGGAAGTGCTCCTTTGCATTTCACCTAAATCAACCACGCTATGGCTTTAGGGCTCCACTTCAGGGGAGAGGCGATCACTCAGAACCCAAGAGGAACCCAAGCAAAAGACACGGATATAAGGCTCCTGTCTGATGCTGCATCACAAGATGCTCATACTCCTCTTGGGTGTATCTGGAGTCGTTCCGAAGAATCAAATCAGATCCTGCGGGTCCTACATTTCGGGAAGCGTTTACAAATTCTGCCTGGTAGTGGCTCTAAGAGGCAACCAGCTGGGGACGCAATTTCCCTAAGATCAGTAGTAGGGAAAAACATGGGTTCTGGGTTCCAATCTATCTTAAGGTGCTACCTCTTTCAGTCAACACGTATTAACGGAGCACCCATTATGTACCAGATTTTGTGCTAGGGGCTGGGGCGAGAGCTGGGAATTAGATAGATGAGGCCCCTGTCCTCACGGGATTTATGGTCTCACATGGGTGTGTGTGTACACACTGTGTACACAAAGAAGAAAGGGAAAGTGGAGGGGGGAGAGGAAATAGAATCCCTCTAAAATGTACTAACTATTTAAAATGCTTATAAAAACTTCACACTGGCAGAACACGGTAAATACCTTCGATGCTCTGTGGGCCCACGAGATTCATGGCCTGGTGCGCTGGATATTCTACCCGTGGCCTGGCAATGCCCAACTGCTCCATAACGCCATGGAGTAGCCTCTGGATATCTGTTTCTGAGACCCGGTCAGGCGCCCGAGGACTATAAGCAGATGTCGGGGTCCATCCAAATGCCAACCAAAACAGTAGGCCAGACGGCAGGTTAAAGACCCTTCGGGAGACCATTTTTAATCCGCTGAAAAAAGACCAAACATCTAGCGATTAGCCGCGATTGGCAATCGTGATAAAACGATCATGCAACCACCTCAAGGACCACCCAGAAAGGGGACACAATTATAAAATCTTTAAGAGTTTTGCTTTTGTCTTAAGTGTCTACCCTATGCAGGACATCTACTGTGGGATGGTATTAAAGAAACAAAACAGTCCGAGGTATCCAGTTCCTCCATACTTGCATTCTTGGGAAGGCTCGCCTGGAACAGCAGTTCTTGTCCCTTTTTTTTTTAATGTTTATAGCCTTTATTTTCTTGTTCGTGACTTACAGACTATACAGAACATTCAAGGGCAGCAAATATTTGTACATGTTGATGGAAGCTTGCCTAGGTGGAAAACTCTGGGCCATTCTCAGGGATAGGTAGAAGATTTAAGAAATTCCTGTCGTGTCTCTAAAAATGTTGTTGGCTGCGATGGTCTGTAAGAAGAATAGATATTGCAAAGTATAAAATTTCATATTTACATTTACATATACTTATATTTCAAAATATAAAGTAAATATGGGGTACAACCCACTTTACACATGACTTAACCATATATATAAAACACAGTCTTAGCACTAATGAGACAAGCCTGCCATAAAAATGGTAGCTGGCAAGATACAGACGCAGGCCTCCTGGTGGCGCAGTGGTTACGAGCTACGGCTGCTAACCAGAAGGTCGGCAGTTCAAACCCACCAGCTGCTCTTTGGAAACCCTATGCGGCAGTTCTACTCTGTCCTATAGGGTCGCTATGAGTTGGAATCGACTTGACCGCAACAGGGTTTTTGGTTTAGTCTAGCATGGATATCAGATTCAGACAACTATATACTCGGAATCCATTGCTTTAATGTAAAGAGAATTATAGTTATTTTTGATTTATAGTTATAATCTAGATTAACTATCAGATGAATTCTCCATAGACGGGCAGTCTGCCTTTCCTAACACTGAGAATTTTTTCCAAAGTAACCTTTTCCTCTGCCTTCACATTACTCTTTGGCTTCAAAATGATCAAGAGTTTCCAGCCATCTGTCTCAGCCCTTAGCTAGTCTTGTGAAAAATCAATCTACTCATAAGCAGTAATTTCATGAGAGGAGTCTGATTTTGATTTACTTCTTCTGACCTTCAGGGCAAGTAAATTTGGTCTTGATAGTGCCTGTTCTCATTCTCATTTTGTTTTTATCCTTGCATCTCTCAGAAAGTTCTGCATGACCTCAACCCAACCACCCTCACCATCGCTTCCCGCTATGAAAAGGAAAAAACAAAACACATCTTGCCTCAATTTTGAGAAGGGGAGAAGGATAGTGACATCTTGTGTTTTCCCAGATTCAGGGGAGAAAAGGCTAATAATAGGAAGGCCTTAGGGAGAAACAAACAGTAAAGAAGGGCAGAAAGGTATGGGGGTGGTGGAAAAGGACGTTTTAGCTTATCAAACACCTGTTCTATTTGCGGTCCTCACAGGAACGTAAACACACACACACACACACACACACACACACAGGCCCTGCCCTGCCATCTGGTAGGGAGATGAGGTTTGCTTGGTCAGCCTTGCACTAGGTGGGTGATCTTGGCGAGTGCCTCAGTGTTCTCATCTGCAAAAAGGGGATAATAAGCGTATCTACCTTATAGGGTTGTTGTGAGGATAACTGTGCAAACGCATGTACGAGGACTTAGTGCCAGGCAGAGTGAGCCCCCAGAACGTTTGCTATGGTTGTGTTGGCAATATTGCCTCAGGCTAGCCTGTTTATCTTTACAGTTCTGGAGATTAGAATTTGGCGACGGGCGGCGAGGACACAAAGAAGACACAGCAGATGAGGGAGAGGGAGAACCCTAGTCTGGGGAGTCCGCCTGTCCTAAATTTGGGGTCCTGTGGCGATGCGTTCAGAACAAGGGGGCAGTATTCAGTGCCGCCCGCCCTCTGCAGCTGCCTAGCCTGCTGAGGACTGGCGGATGCTTCAGGCACCAGCCCGGCAAACCCTTCTTTTTGATCACCCCTCTTTTTTATTTTTTTGAGGGGGATGGTTGAGGAGGCAAAACCACATATTTCCTTCCCTGAAAGGGGAATATTCACACCCCCTATATATTTTTCTGTCAAAGGAAAGGCTTTCTCCAGTCACTTCTAGATAGAAAACCTTGCTACCCTAAGAGCTGAAAACAGCTCTTGGCTGCAGCCCCAAAGCCTGCGTTTGTGACGGAAAAGGCCCGAGGCAGGCGCCAGCCTCTCCATCCATCCCCCTCTTCTCCGGTCCGCTCTGAATGCAAGATGTCCGTCTTATTTCCATCCCCTGCCGACACCGTTCTTATCCGATGCGCCTCCCAATCTCCCTGGGCACCCCTGCCTCCTTGTGCACAGCCAAGCCCCCGACCCCCACCCACCCTGTGTCCGGCCCCGACCTCCCCCAGCTGGAGGATTTCAGCAGGAAGCCCTCCTTCAGGGCGACCCCAAAGGGGCCGCGGGTCTGGGGGCAGTCACTGTGCAGGCGGAGCCCGCATCCACGCGGTACTCACCGAGGGGCCGCCCGGAGCCTGCGGCGGTCTGGGCCTCGGGCGCGCGGGCGGGGAGCAGGGCGCGCGGGCAGCAGGGCGCGCGGGCGGGGAGCAGGGCGATCGGGCAGCCGGGCGCGCGGGGCTCGGGCCTCACCGCCTCCGCCTCTTCGCTCCGCCCCGGGCCCGCCTCCAGCAGGTGCGGGCCGCCCGGCCGGGACTCCCGGAGCGCATGCATGGAGGGATGTGCCCCTCGCCATTCGTTCTGCGTACAAACGTCTCCTCCTCCGTTACAGAACAGCTTTAAAAATTCTTTGGCTTAGAGTAGACACGCCCATAGGACCACACGAGACTAAAGGGGCACACCAGCCCAGGGGCAAGGACGAGACAGGAAAGCTGGTAACGGGGAACCCACGGTCGAGTAGGGGAGAGCTGACATGTCGTGGGGTTGGCAACCAGTGTCATAAATCAATATGTGCGCTGTTTAATGAGAAACTAATTTGCTCTGTAAACCGTCTAAAGGACAATAAAAAAAATGTTAAAAAAAAATTCTTGGCCTTAAAGACGGAAGAAGCAACGGTGTGGGGTGACAAAAAGCTGAAGAGGTCCCAAGAACTTTTAATGGTGGCAATGATGTGATAAGGTACACACTGCTTTCATGACCCCCTTCATTGATCAGTAACACTGGAGAGGTATTTAATCGAGGATGCTAGAAAAATCTGTTAAATACGTCAACGGACACTTGAAAACCTCTAGGAATATTAGTTCTGAGAATTATATCCAAACCTTCACACCAATTATCTATGAAAATTCCAACTTTGGCCTGAAGAGACCCAGGATTTACAGCATATTGCAGAAAATACATCCAGGTAGATTCAGGATTCTTCTGTTAATAAGGGTTTATGGTGGCGCAGTGGTTAAAAGCTCAGCTGCTAACCAAAAGGTAGGCAGTTCAAATCCCCCAGCTGCTTCTTGGAAACCCTATGGGGCAGTTCTACTCTGTCCTGCAGGGTCGCTATGAGTCAGAATCGACTCAGTGGCAACGGGTTTGGTTTTTTTGGTAAGGGTTTATACAGCACCTACTATGTGCAGTTTTGAACATCTGAAATGTGTTCAAATATAAAATTTGAACTGTAAAGCCATATAATGAACACTATTTTAAATTTCTTTGATCGAGGACTGGGGATGAGTCGGGTACCTGGGAGATCTGAGTGACTAAATAACTTGATGTTAGAATCCCAGTCTCCTTACCTTAGCTCTATGCAGCAAATCCATTACCACCAACAGCGATTTATGCAAAGAACACCGTTGTTAGCTGTGGTTGCGTCGATTCTGACTCATGGTGACCCCACGCGTGCAGAGTAGAACTGTGCTCCACAGGGTTTTCAAGGCTGTGACCTTTTGAAAGCAGATCCTGTGCTTCTGGGTGAGTTCAAACTGCCAACGTTTTGGCTAGTAGTTGAGTGCTTAACAGTTTGTGCCACCCTGGGACTCCACGCAATGAATAGGGCTGACAAGTTCATTCCTGCGACACATGGCCTTTTGGTCTGAAGCCAAGCAAGGCCCCTTCCTAGAGCTTTTGTTCCACAGCTGCTCTGCTTCCTGCTTATTTCAATGCATGTGACGTCATTAGGACTTATATTATCTATCCTCAAGGCTCCAAGACCACGTGAGCCTTAGTATTTACTATTCACACACAAAGTGGTTTTCAATTCTGAATTTTACTTTAACATTGTCCAGTCACCTTCACTTTGTGCTTAGGAATATGGAGGTCATTATAATTTACTGCTTTTGTGGTAAATGGAAACTTGACTGAAATACTCCAAAATGTCTGCGCTCCACATGAAATTTCACATTAAAAAAAAAAAAAAAATCTATCAGCTATATCCTGGGCTTGATGATTATCACAATCCCATATTAAATTCTTACTTGCTATAGAATGTTGCCAAGCAGACTACTGCTTTAAGTTCTGTATGACTGTACCATTTGTTGCTTGTAAGATAATTATTAGACATCTACACTTATGAGTAAAGTGAAAAGAATTCTTGAAGTTACAGCACGTGTAAAACTTTGTAAAGTACCTTGTATATTTACTGTATCACTTGAGGTTAGTAAGCTGGGACATTATCACCTCCATTTTGTATAAGAAAAAACAACAGAGACTGTCAAGTCTAAAACTCAACTTTCCCGATGCCTTCTCTAATTACCACACCTCCAAACTATTCATTTTCATATTCCTGTTGTGCATGGCAGTTTTCAGCTAACAAAAACGGAGTGACATGTGGATAGTTTTTCTCTCGTGAACAAACATCTTTATTGATTCATCCGTCAGAAAAGCCGCTGAGTCAGGTGATTTGTAGTTAGCTTCATATGCTTTCCTCCCGAATCAGTGATCCAATTTACCATTTCATTCCATCCCCTACAATATGTCTTTTAAGAGGTTCAAAAGTTAGAGGAAAAAAATTGCTTTAAACTAGGCAACATACATCTCAGCGTTCAGGAATATTTTCTATTTCTACTTCCTACTGGAAATACCACAAAGATCTGAAACGCATGCCTGGTCTTTATTATAAACCTGTTTTGACAACAGGTAAACACGATGTTTATAGATTTTCACAGGCTCTATATAGTCAAATACTAATTCTAACCGAGGGTTAATTCCTAGAGAATGAATATAGAGATAGGAAACAGCTTTGAAATAAAACAGAGATACCGTTGCCAAGCAGAACTTTGTAAAGCAGACGTTCGATATTGCGAACTTCCTCATGGGTAAGTCCGGGTGCTCTGAGCAGGCCTGCCGTTCTGTCCTGCTCTGCTCCAACATCCCCACGCGGCACACTAACAGCTGACCTGTAGGACAGTCGTAAGTGATCGGTTCTGCCTGCTTGTTCTTTTCTCAAAAACCTAGACAGTGTGTTCTATTGTTCATCGTACTATTTTCTTAAAGATTTGTAGTTTCTAAGATTTCATTTAATAATTCCAAATGTAAATTTAGACGGATTTGCTTGACAATTGGGGTTAAGTATTAAACCACTTTGAATTTCTAGTAGGGTCTCAGGCAAGTCATATTCCAGAAAATTCTCTTTAATGTCTATGCTAAATAAATAACATTTACACACAAGACAAAACCACTGCAGACTTTCATCCTAGCTAAATGTACAGAGGTGCATCAACTATTTGAAATTCTAAAATCAAGCATGTGCAAATAAGAAATCACCTTGATTAAACTTCTTTCAAGTTTAATTATTCCTCCTTAAATAATTAAAAAATTCTATATTGGACAAAACAGATACAAATGTATTTGTGCAAATTAACTTAAAACATAGTATGGCTTCAAGGTCATCAATTACTTCTCCATCATTGTAATAGAGGAGCCCACTTTAATCATTATTCTGCTTTAGTCATTCTTAGTTCAAATGCATACACTGTACAAATCTACAGACAATACAAACCTAATAACTCTGTCCCAAACAGGAATAAAGTATTAGGATATTATTGAGTAAATGAATTTCTAGGAATTTTGAGTAAAGACAACAAACATTAATTTTATATAAGTGGAGAAATAAAATTTGCAGGGTTTATCTCTTCCCCTTCCATGTCTGGGTATGTCTGTGGAAACCTGATCTGACACAGGAGGAATCACAGCAAATGGGCACAGCTCCCTCCACTCATTCTATCACACACAGAAATAAAATTCAAGCACATTTCAAATGTCAATTACTTAAACATTCAGCCAACAATTTCTTTAAAAAGCTAACATGTATCTCTGCTTTAAGAGATCACAATAAAATTAAAAGTAGTTTAAATACTGCCGTAATTAAGAAAAACCAAGTCATCATTTATACAAGTATAAAATCCAAGTTGCTTGTACAGTGAAATAAAAATGTTTCAGAGAAAAAACTATGATGTAATAATCATCCTGAGCTACAAAGTAACGTGTGGATTATTTCTGCAAGTCCTATCTCTGATTGCTAATTTTCTTTACATTAACAACAAGAATACCATTTACCACTTACAAGTCTACAGGTTTACTGGTTGATAGGAGCTGAGTTTTTCCAATAGGAGCTTTTGGAGAACCTTTATACCAAGCCCTTTCTCTTTCTGATGGTTTCCTAAGGCCTCTGTTATCTACCCCAGGAGAAAAGGCTGTATTGTTATTTACAACAGATTTTAGTATATCATAATTAGTAACGTCATCCAAAGGAACCTTAATTAGGTCGTGAGATACCACTTCCTGTTTACAAATCCTAGTAGACCCAAGAGAAGCATTCACCAGGTCTCGGTGCCTCTTCGTCTTTGAGGAAGATTTAGAAGTTAACTCCATACTTGATTTTGAAACTGCATCAACATTTGGCTGTTCGTGCGACATAGATTTCTGTTCTTTAACACCTGATTTGTTACATGGGATAGAGGACGCATTTTCTACCCAAGAAAGAGCACTGTCACAGCTCACTGCTTTAACCAGAGGAGACGCAGCATCCCCATGACTCGCCGACTTGTGGTTTACAGCTTGTCTGTGATACTCCAACAAAGAATTGATTCGTCTGACAGACTGACGAACAGGGGTACGCTGAAACTTGAGAGGTGACTTCACGTTGGTTCTATTCGGTTCATTTAAAGAGAGTTGATTAAACCACTGTATGTGGTCTGAAACCTTGCCATGCTCTGTCACCTGGACACTCTGTGACACCGTTTCATAGCGTGTTCTCACCAGCGAATGCTGTTTAACAATCCTCACAGGCTGAGGCTTTGGTACGTTTGTCACACGGCATGGGACGTGCTCTGAGGAAGACGATTTAGTCACACCCGCCCCAGCAGCTGCACGTTTTACTAAGTTTTCTTCGATCGGTCTCTCATCCTCCTTTCCTTTAGGATTTAGTTGATCTCTTGGGGACTCCTGTTTCTTTAGTTGTTTATCCCTGGGGAGTTCGTGCTTGCTGGAATAATCTTTTGGTGTGTCTGAACAAACACCTTTTTCATGCTCCATCTTCATCTGAGTTGCATGACATTTTAGAGTTGCTTCTTTGCCCAAGTTTTGCATTTGATATAGTGAGAAGCCTCTCTCTGAAAAACTGTTTTCCTCTTTACTAGTGTGGTGTTCGTACTTTTCCTCTGATTCTACCACAGTCAAATCATGAGTTTCAAATAGATTTTTCTCTGGGCTATATTCTACATAAGACGTTTCATTTAATTCTACTTTCCCCACGTTAGTTATTGATAATTGCCTGTGATTTATCAACTCATGAAGATTACTTCCGGATTCAGAAAACGCTTTCTGAATTTTCACTAAGGTCTCTGTGGTCAAGTTACTTTCATCCCCACTAAGGGTGTTTCCAATTACACTGCCTTTATACTTATTGTGCACACTGGAAGGGGTGAGTTCATATGAAGTCACAGATGACTTTTCAGCCGCTAGATCAGGCTCCAAAGATGAGTTTACCACCTCGAGATTTCCCACCATCAGAGATGTTTCATTTGCATCTACTTCTTGAAAAGTTGAATTACTAGGTCCTGTCCAAGACATTCGATAGTTTGTTCCACCCAGTCGTTCTGGAGTTAGCAAGTTTTCCTCAGACTTACTGATCTTTTTCGAACCTGAAATAAAGCAGTTGAGTACTTTTAATCCTTTATATTCAACCTAGTTCTGAAATGTTACTCAAACACACGACAAATAAAGGTATTCAGCATTTAATTCCAATAAATCAAAGATTTATATTAGAAGAAAAAATTTTTTAATATAAAAACATCAAATAGTTTTCTATTTACATTTATACACATCCTCAAACTGTTGACTGAAAATATGTTGCCAATTCAAATGTTTTCACTATTCAGACACGAACTTGTAATTTCTCGCAGGGCAAATTAATATATTTTACCATTAAAAAGCAACTAAAACAGGCTTTTGGAGGAAAAACTCTAACAATATCATGTAAATGTACCTTTCTTTGTTAATCTTTCATCAATTTCTGGGCTAAAAAGCAGACCTGTTTTTACAGATTCAATCCCATTTTTTAAACTTTGTTGGTTTGCAAGTCGCCGACCAACATTTTCACATCTGTTGACACCAGAACATGAACATCCATTCTGTACAGAAGAAAAAAATTGAAAAAGAGTTTGGTTAAGAAATAAACTTAGTTAATGTGAAATATTAAGACAAAGTAGTTTTTTGTAGTTAACAAAATCTTCTACAGCAGATTAAAAATAATCTAATTGGGAAACAACTTCATAACAAACATAAATACACGTGCATGCTATTGAAAACTGTAAGCTGATATCTTATTTTTTGATTAAAATAAAAACAATCTCCCATAGTCATTAATTAAAAAAAAATAAGTCCGGGGGCTTACTTTATGCCAGGGCTTTTTCACATTAGTGAAAATACAGACAAAAATTCTACCCTTGTGGAGTTTACATTCCAGACAGGGACTTGGACAAAAACAAGATAAAGAGTAAATTATATTATATAACATACAAAGTGGAAAGTGTTCTGGAGAAAAGTAAAGCAGGGTCAGAAGGCTACAGAGTGGTGAAGGTGAGGGTGTAATTTTACACAGATCAGGAAGAAGATGTTTTTGGAGTAAGGACCTGGAGGTGAGAAGGAGAACTATGAGGTTACAGGAGGAACAACACTCCTGGCAGAAGAAATGCCGGTGCAGGCTCTGAGGCTATGTGACAAACAGTGAGGGGCCGGTGTGGATGGAGCAGAGGGAGCGACAAGAGGGCAGGAGCCGAGGAAGAAGAGGTGGGCTGAGAACAGATCATACAGCGCTTTGCAGGACAATGCAGTAACTTCGGCTTTCATTCAGAGTGAAGTCAGGAGTCAGGTGACCTACCCTGGGCTGTGAGGGAATAAATGGCTGCAGTACTGCAGCAAGGGTGGGAGCAGGTAGACCGGCTAGTGGGAGTTAGCAGGGCTTACTGCAGTAATCCAGGAGAGACGACGGAACTTAAGAAGGTGGAAAAAGTAGCACAAGGATTGGTCATCAGAACCTGGATCTACTGTGAAAACAGAAGTTAAAGCAGACAGGATTCCCCAATGGACTAGACATGGCATGCGGGAGAAAGATGTCAAGAATGCCTTCCTGGTATTATGCTGAGTGAAATTAGTCAGTCGCTAAAGGACAAATATTGAATAAGACCACTATTATAAGAACTCAAGAAAACTGTTTAAACACAGAAGAAACATTCTTTGATGGTTACGAGGGCGGGGAGGGGGGGAGAGGGG